GGGTGGGCTGTTGAACTGGAGCATTGCCCCAACCTTTCACTCAGAAAGCTTTTTAATTTTTTGTTCCCTACAGAGTAACTGGAATGAAATTGTTGACAGCTTCGATGACATGAACCTCTCAGAGTCCCTGCTCCGTGGTATCTATGCCTACGGTTTTGAGAAGCCCTCTGCCATCCAGCAGCGAGCCATTCTTCCTTGTATCAAGGGTAAGAGCCAGCTTTCAGGGCAAATTTTGGATACATCTCAACCTGATTGGTGATGCCCGTGTCATATCTAAGAACAAAGTTGTTAAAAGTGTCATCAAGTCGGTTCTGACCCATAGTGACTGCAGTTTTCAAGGATGGCTAGTGGGTTTGAATCGCTGACCTTGTGACCTGTAAGTCTCTTACAGAGTCAACACCAGAAATAAGGTAGCTCATTGTTTATCCCAACTTAATTCTTGGTCCATGCTGTGAACAAAAGGGATTCCAGAGCTATCTTTCTTATATCAAGGGATTTATCACCCATCTTGTACACGATAAGATAGCATTTTAGGCTGCTTGCTCTTATTTCTGTAGTCACTATTTCTGTTTTATCTAGGTTATGATGTGATCGCTCAAGCCCAATCTGGGACTGGGAAAACTGCCACTTTTGCCATATCAATTCTGCAGCAGATTGAATTAGATCTAAAGGCCACCCAGGCCTTGGTCCTGGCTCCCACTCGAGAATTGGCCCAGCAGGTGAGATGATGGGTTTCCTCACAGTCCTGGGGGTACTGATTTTAGAAATGGGTTAGCATAATCTATATATCAGAGAAGTATTCCAAACCATCACTTTGGAAAGAGGATTGAAGTATAGGGTAGGCAGGACCAGTTGGGGGAGGAAGAGGTGTCCTAATGTCAGGTGAGTTGTTAATTATAAGGCTTTTCCTACCCAAACACGAGTACCATTTCCTCCACCCATTTCCTGAGTCAGTTGGGACAGCTATTGGGTGGAGTCTAGCTGGCCCATCAAGTTCAGTGGCTGATTTATGAAGAAACCCCTGGCTATGGGCAAAGAGACACCTGATTGGTGGTGGTGCTCTTATATCAGTCAGGGGCAGAGCAGACTTGTAGTCCTTTGTTCATCCTAGCTTGATGCCTGGATTGTGGCCAAAGCTGTTTCATGCCTAGGGCACAGAAAATTCTCCTGATCAGCTCAGAAAAGAAGAAAAGTTCTGGCAAAACTCCCATGTATGTTTATAGAGCATGCTTTTGAAGAGTGAACATGCTGTCAAACTGGCTCTGACTCTTAGTGACCTTGTTTGGGGTTACCCAAACTGTACCGTTTACAGGAACAGAAAACCATGTCTTTCATCAAGCAGTTGGTGGGCTTGTACTGCCAGCCATGAGGTTCCCGAGCCAATGCTTATCCTACAGAGCCATAAATAGCGTTTCAGAGGAGCTGCTCATGGGTTCGAGCCACCAACCTTTTGCTTTAGCAGTCCAGTGCTTATCCTAGATCTCCTTCTAGAATGGCAGTAGTGATTGTGTGCCACAGAGTTTGTTCTGTCAACTGATAGTAACCCTGTATGTAAGGTTTCTTAGGCTGTAAATCTACAGAAACAGAAATTGTCTTTTTTCTGCATACTGGCTAGCAACCCACTTTGTAATATACTATAATCAGATTTGTGTTCAGATCATTACCTTAGGTTTATAGGGAAGCGTGAGAAACATTTACGAGAGTACCCAGCACTCTCGTGGCTAATACAAGCACTTGTCTGGGTTCAGATACAGAAGGTGGTGATGGCATTAGGAGATTACATGGGCGCCTCCTGCCATGCCTGCATTGGGGGCACCAATGTGCGAGCTGAAGTGCAGAAGCTACAGATGGAGGCTCCTCATATTATCGTGGGCACCCCAGGCCGTGTGTTTGATATGCTTAATCGAAGATACCTGTGTGAGTACCACTTTCCTCACTTCCCCAATTCCACAACTGTTAACCTTCCTCTGAAAGTGCTGCTCTGTGATGAACCCCCATGCGTGTCATCTGAGCCTGGTTTTCCTGTTGTCTCAGCCCTGGAAGTGTTCTACTTCCATGGCTGTTGTCAGACTCGGCAGGAGTTTGGGCAAAGGATCAATTTTTACATTCTGAGAGCAGACTACCTGTCCCTTTCTTGTCTTTATCAGTAATATATTTTATATAAATTTATTTCCATTAGCTCCCAAATACATCAAGATGTTTGTACTTGATGAAGCTGATGAAATGTTAAGTCGTGGATTCAAGGACCAGATCTACGACATATTCCAAAAACTCAACAGCAACACCCAGGTGAGCTACTTATGTAGCTGTTTCCTGTGTAGAATGCTGTATGGCTGGTAAAGAAAAGGGTAATAGAAAAAATTAAAAGTCTGAAGTGCTTAGTCCCTCAAGTGCACTGATTTGTTTTGGGTGTTACTAAAAAAAATATAAAGTTGACTCCAGAATGCCTATGGGGCAGTTATACTCTGATTTAGGATTGCTGGGTTGAATCTACTTGGCAGCACACAACAGGGAGAAGCGAGCAGGCATCTTGGACTGTGTCCTACCCCAGACCAAAGGTGATTTTTTTTCTCCCTAATAGGTAGTTTTGCTGTCAGCTACAATGCCTTCTGATGTACTTGAGGTGACCAAGAAGTTCATGAGGGACCCCATTCGGATTCTTGTCAAGAAGGAAGAATTGACCCTGGAGGGTATCCGTCAATTCTACATCAATGTGGAACGCGAGGTGGGGCCCAGTGCAGGAGGCGGTCCTGGTGTTGCCTTGTTGGCTATAGCCCCTGACTGATTTTTTTTTTTTTCCCCTCCTCTCCCCTTCCCCCCCAGGAGTGGAAGTTGGATACACTATGTGATTTGTATGAAACCTTGACCATCACCCAGGCAGTCATCTTCATTAACACCCGGAGGAAGGTTGATTGGCTCACTGAGAAGATGCATGCCCGAGATTTCACTGTTTCAGCCATGGTGCGTCTTCCTATGTGTCCCAGCGTCTCGCTTATGTGGTTTTCCCAGAATTTGTGTGCCTACCTACTACATTCTTTTATTCTAGCATGGAGATATGGACCAAAAGGAACGAGATGTGATCATGAGGGAGTTCCGTTCTGGTTCTAGCAGAGTACTGATTACCACTGACCTACTGGTGAGTAGAGAGGAATTGCAAAGACTAGGAAGGAAGAAGGGAGAATCCAAGGTGATTCCCTCTTCCATGGGGCCAACTATTGCCCCTCTCAGGAAAGTAGCAACTTGGAATAAAAATTGGGCATGCCTAAGACCTTCTAGGGAGAAGGGGATGTTTTTCCTTTTGCCTTCCTTTGGCTGCCTACATAGGTATACCAAAGTTTTTTCAGGGTAGGTTGACCGTTGTTCACTCATATGCTGAAATTTTTCTTCCTTGATTTAGGCCAGAGGCATTGATGTACAGCAAGTTTCGTTAGTCATCAACTATGACCTACCTACCAACCGGGAAAACTATATACACAGGCAAGTGTAGTTCTGGAGTACTCATTTAATTAATCCCTCATCTGCCCAATTTTCCCTGAGCCCATCCTCTACTGTTTATATGCTGAGTTGTCTTCATTAACTTCCAGAATTGGTCGTGGTGGACGTTTTGGCCGTAAGGGTGTGGCTATTAACATGGTGACAGAAGAAGATAAGAGGACTCTTCGAGACATTGAGACCTTCTACAACACCTCCATTGAGGAGATGCCCCTCAATGTTGCTGACCTCATTTGAGAGGGGCTTTCTATCCTGCTACCTAGCCCTGACCAGGGTTCAATCCTGGGGGGGTTGAGGAGCGAGCAGCAGGAGGGGGGAGGGAAGAGGGAGCCCAGGGATGGACATCTTGTCATTTTTTTTTTTTTTTTTTTTCCTTTGAATAAATGTCACTTTTTGAGGCAAAAGAAGGAACCGTGAACATTTTAGACACCCTTTTCTTTGGGGTAGGCTCTTGCCCCAGGCGCCGTCTCTTCTCCCAAAGAAACACTAATCCATTTCCCTAACCTAGTCAACCGCCAGCCCAGAGGCTCCCCGCCCCAGCCAAATTCTTCTGAAGATGATTCAAGGGGCTGTGTTATTCAATCCCATTTGCTGGACCAAATCTGGAGGGAGAACCCTTGAGTGAGGTGGCCCAGGGTATTCCTAGGTGGGGGGAGCAGGGGAGAGAAAATGGTAGCCATTTTTACGTTGTTTTGTATAGTATTTATTGATTCAGGAAACAAACACAAAATTCTGAATAAAAAGTCTTGGAAACTGCCTGTTTGGGCTTCTCATTTATTATCTCCCCTTCCCTCAGCCACCTGCTACTGGGTACATCTTAGTACATCCTTCACCAGGTAGTAGCTACCGTTATACTGTTGCTTTTTGCTATCTGAGGTTGATAAGTATATTTTTTTCCTTGTTAAGTGCCATCAAGTTGGGTATGACTCAGAGCAACCCTGTGTGTATAGGGTTTCCTAGGAGCTGCTGGTGAGCTTGAACGGCTGACCTTGGGAGTCCAGTGCATTATCCTGTAGCACCTGGACCAGCCCAATGTTCACTAAGATACAGTGGTAACATGTAAGGGATTAGTTGAACACATCTAAGGAAGTGATGGAAAATCAGTTTAAGGGGAAGAGTGGTTGTATTATCCCTTATTGGAGAGATTTTTGGGAAGGGGCTGCTGCTCAATTGACAAGCTCTGTACTACTGAGCCAGGTTTTCTAAGGAAAGCCTGGGTTCCCAAGTACAGACTGTCTAAGACCTTTTACTTTCTGAATATATAATAGCTGTCCTGGTAACACCTCCCATTTATTTAAGGGCCAATTCCATAGCTTATGAAAACTTTGTGACTAAGATGTTGGTGACTGGAGCTGAGGTGCCTGAGTCAGGTTTGGGGGTTGGTATTTTCGAAGTTTACAGGAAGTAAGAGTTTCACTTCCGCCTTTTCCCAAAGAAGGCAGAGGGAACAGGGTTAACTGAGCACTACTACTGGCAGAAGTTAGTTGGACTTTGGGTGAGGTGCTGTCATGAAGCTGGCTGTGTTTTTCTCTGGGGCCTTGTTGGGGCTACTAAAAGGTAAGAGAGGTGTCTGAAGGGAAGGAACTCGGAAGGGATTTGTACCTGGTTAGCTAATCAGCTTATCTCCTAAAAGCCACAGGGGCAAAGGATGACTGTCCTCATAAAAAATCGGCCACTCTACTGCCGTCCTTCACGGTAACTCCTACAGCTACAGAAAGCACAGTAAGCCCTGGACCAACCAGCCACAGCACAACCAAAAGCCAGGATACTACCACTCTTATAACAACTACCACAGGTACTACCAGCCCTGGATCTACAACTGCAACTCACAATCCTGCCACGACGACTCATGGAAATGCCACAGTTCATCCAACAAGTAATAGCACTGCTACCAGCCCAAGGATCACCACTGCTCCCCACCCAGGACCACCACCACCCTCTCCAAGCCCTAGCCCAGGCTCCAAGGAAGCTATAGGAAACTACACATGGCTTAATGGCTCCCAGCCCTGTGTCCGGCTCCAAGCCCAGATTCAATTTCGAGTTCTCTACCCAACCCAGGATGGAGGAAAGGTAAAGTTTGACCTTGGTTGGGGGTGTGAGAGACAGGAGGCAAGTCTTGCTATGGTTCAGAAGAAGAGTAAAGAAGGAACAAAAATGGGGTAAGGGTGAAGGAATAGGGAACTGTGAATACCATGGCTGTAGAGCCTCATGACATTCATCTTTTAACTTCTGCAGATGTGGGGCATCTCAACACTGAACCCCAACAAAACCAAGGCCCAGGGGAGCTGTGAAGGTGCCTATCCCCATTTGCTTCTCTCATTCCCCTATGGACAGCTTAGCTTTGCCTTCAAGCAGGTAAAACATCCTAACTACACCCTTATCTCTGACTGACTCTCCCAAGCAGCCCTCCCTGCCATCCCTTTCTGTGTTCCTTATAATGTGGACATGGATGCCACTGCTGCTTTCCTGAGCCTTCCTGTCCCCTCCCCAGGACTCGGTACAGAGTGTTGTCTACCTGAACTACTTGGCTGTGGAGTATAATGTATCATTCCCCAAGGCAGCAAGTAAGTCACCCTGCTTGCTTCCCTTTCTCATGGCTAGCACAAGCTGTTTAGGCTCCTAAGGGACCTAAGATGGAGTAGAGGGAGGGAGATCTGGACCTGACCCTTTCTTACACTTTCAGAGTGGACATTCTCAGCTCAGAATTCAACTCTTAAAGATCTCCAAACTCCACTGGGCAAAAGCTTTAACTGCAGAAATACAAGCATCATTCTTTCACCAACTTTCCACCTTGACCTGCTCTCCGTGAAACTACAGGCTGTTGGTCTGTTGTCCACAGGAGCCTTTGGACCAAGTAAGATCTATTCCTTCCCTCCTAGAACTCTGCACTTGAAAGCCCCTTCTCCTGGCCCATAAGACCAGTTACCTTTACCCTTGTTTCCTTCTCTGAGGCTCAGCATTGCTATAGAGCATTTGCCCTTCCCTCCACTATAGCGGGCTCTGCCCATTTTTCCCTTTTACTTACTGTTCTTGAGTCATCTCAAAGTGTTCTGATGCAATGGGTTAAGAACTGGGCTGTTAATCAAAAGATCAGCAGTTCAAACCCACCAGCCACTTCTCGGGAGAAACGAGCTCCAGATTTAGTTTCAAATCCTTTGGAGCAGAGCACTATTATGTATAGGACTATGAGTCAGAATCCTTTCAACAGCAGTGGGTTGAGTCATCTCGGTATGCTCAGCAACATCAGGCCTCCACTTCCCAGTTCCCTACCTCCTCACATTCCTTCCCTCCGCCCTTTATCCCAGACACCATCACTGCAATGCTTCTTTGCCCTTATCTTTCTGCTAGGTTTCTCTTGTGACAGTGACCAGATGTTTTTGCTGCCTCTCATCATTGGGTTGGTACTCCTTGGCCTCCTCGCCCTGGTGCTTGTTGCCTTCTGCATCGGCCGGAACCGCTCATCCACATACCAGCCCCTCTGAGCATGTCTCAACCCTCATATTTCCTCGCCATACAACCATACAGGTGGCTGAAAGAATCATTTTCCTTCCTTCTGGTCTTGAGCATAATATCATACAACCAGATGGGGTATGGGGATATTTATTAAATACAACAAATTTCTTCTTCCCCACCCTGAATAGGAGAGTTGTAAAACCTACTCAAATATTTGTCCTTGGTTTCCCTGTCCTGCCAGAATTAAAAGCTATGAGTTTATTGTCTCTTGTTTCTTTCTGTACTTTTCATGGTTGAGTCCGGAAGCCAGGAACCACTGATGAGGAGGGATGAAAATGGCAATGACCCAGTTCAATTCCCTCATGGGTCTGGCACATGTCTCTCCCTTCCTCTTCTGGAGCTACTCCTCAGTTTGACCTCACCAGTACAGTGGAGGCAACCTTCCAGATTCTCAATGTAGTAGCAAAAAGGGGCTGCAGGCAGCAATAAGCATGGATAGGAAGGCTATCGCTGTGTGGTATCTTTTTCAAAAGTAGCACCAGTAGCCCCTGAGCTACTGGAATGCTGTTGACTGTGTCCAGGGCTGGCTGAACAGTCTGACTAAAATCATTGCTGCCCCTGGTCCTATCCCACCTGCAAAGTGTCATCAACTAACGGAGCCATGCACTCTCTTGGCCTCAGTGTGCTTGGGAACAGCATGCTCTTAGCCTGGACCACCCATTAAGTCTGTCTCTCAAGTCTGGAGGAGGGAAGATGGCACCTTGCGACAATCGATTGTCCGTCAGGGACGTTTCTAGGAAGGGCCTTCCAGACTGCCACAGTTCGCTCGTGGTAGGAACGCCACCACACTCTGTAACAAACATCCTTATGACCTTGCAGACTGAGGAGCTAGACAATCACACCGGGCACTCAGCTGCCACAGCAGGAAGGCCAAGCAGGCACTGGACTTTTCCTTGAGTCCTTTCTATGCACGTGGTCCCAAAAAAATGCTTGCGCATGCTTTGACCCACAGGCGGCGCCCTAGGGGTGGCGGGATAGGGACTGAACTCCGAAAATAGGTCCTCACCAGGACCTCTCAGGGATGCTGCCAGCACTGGACATAGGGTGGTGACTCAAGGACTGAGTCTAGCAGGGGACCTGGGGGACTGGAAAAGCTGTTCTTCCCGGAAGCTAGGCTTCCCTGCCCCTTGTCTTCTGCATGACTGTCTCGGTCCCCGTAGTTGCTGGCGCACCCATACTCCAAGGCCTGGGCGAACCAAAGGAGGGAGAAGCGAAGGGCCTGGGCGAACCAGAGGAGGGAGAAGCGAAGGGCCCTGCGCGCAGCCCGGCGTCTATGGAGGGCTGCCCGACGCCGACTGTCCTGTTCTCGCCGATGTCGTCCCCTCTGGAGACGCTGAGAGAACAGGAGACAAAGAGCTACAACACCCCCATCCAACGCCATTTTAGCGATTACATGTTCCTTCTCTCAATTTCAAACAATATAAAGTTGAGAGGGAGAAAACAAGATGGCGCCGTACAGAAGACCGGTGAAAGGCTAAGGGGATAAATTTTACTTGGAAACTGGAAGCGGAAACAAAGGCACGAAAGGTGTAACTGCGCAGGCGTACAGCTTTGGTACTAGTAGGGTGCGTACAAAACAAAGTATTTTACACTACTGAAAGCAGGTGGTGTACGAAAGGCGAGATGGGGGGGGCGGTCCAGCTAAGTCGCGGGAAAAGGGATAAGAGGCGTGTCTAGAACGCGCATGCGCAATGTAAGTCAATGGTGGTTTGAAGAGATGGGCGGAAGCAAGCTTTGCAATATGGCGGCCGAGGTGGATGGGCCGCTGAAACGCGTTCTGGTGCCGATTCTTCTACCTGAAAGATGCTACGACCAACTTTTTATCCAGTGGGACTTGCTTCACAGTAAGTGTTATTTAGCATCAGATCAAAGTTCTGCTCGAGCGACCTTGAACTATAAACGGGGGAATGACTAGGGACCAAGTGACGGAGAGCAGCTGCTGCTACACCATTCTGGGCGGAAGTCGCTTCCAAGAGCGGCGGAAGTGTATAGGACTCCACCAAAGGAGGACGCCATATTTGGGGTAGAGGAGGAGTCACCAAGGGAATTTTTTGTGAAGACTGTATTCCTCTTACTGTCATTTAGGCACAAAGAAAGACGAAAAGACTCCAGTTTAAAAAAAAAAAAAAAAAAACTGTGATCAAATCATTCCAACCTTTGATAAGTCGCTAAACTTTAGGGAGCAATATTAGATTTAATTCAAAACGTTGGTGAATCAAACCTTAAACGGCACTGCCGAAGGCTCTAGCTACTGCGATCGGATTTCTACCAATCTCTTCATTTGGTCTAATTTTGTAATAACGTGCCTTACACTTTATATCTGGGAGGCAACTTAACTGGAGGGTCCCCTGCAAACATCGTTCCCTTTGGGAAGTCTTTTTAGTCTACCCTTGTCACATCCTGGTGCCTATGCTGGTGGGCTGGTGAACGGGACACTTTATGGCCTGTTGTGACATTCTAAGTATTGGACGTGGAAAGGTCGAGTTAAATCCTTTTAATAGGAGCCTGAGACAGGCTTCTTGTTAAGGGTTTCCAACGAGCGATGGGTGAATTTGAACTGCCGACTTTGTGGTTCAAACCGACCTTTCGGCCCAGTGCTTTTATCATCCCACAGCGCCACAGAGTCTGGGATTTAGCAGTAAGTGATACATAGAGCTGCCCTTGGAAAGAGAAGAAATGTAAAATGGACCACCTAGCTACTCAGAGAAGGGAAATGAAAGCATGCACAAAGTGATGCAAACTGTTAGGTTGGAGGTTTGAACAGATGTAGCAGTGCAGAGAAAGGTCTGTGAAGACATTTGGGTGGTGGTTATGTGCCGTGGAGTCACAGCGACCCTCTACAGGGTTTCCTAGCTTCATTTTTCTCCCGTGGAACAGCTGGTAGTTTCGAACCACAACGCTACCAGAGCTCCTTGTCACTAAGTTTGTTGTTAAGTACGGTGGAGACGGTTCCGACTCATGTGACCCTGCACAGGGTTTCCGAGGCTGTAAATCTTTATGAGAGCAGAACGCCTCATCTTTCTCCCGCGGAACAGAGCTCCTTTTTCTATGTTTAGGATCATAATAATCTACAAATAGAGAGTTTTACTTCTTAGCCAATTTGATGTCTTTAACTTTCCTTTCTTGCCTCATAGATCTGTCTAAGACTTCCTACACAATATTGAATAGGAGTGGTGACAAAGGGCATCCTTGTCTGGTTCCTGTTTGCAAGGGGATTCCTATCCATTTCTCAATAAGTTTTGTTGTTAAGTGCCGTCGAGTTGGTGCCAACCCATAGCGACCCTATATAGGGTTTCCGAGGAGCGACTTGTGAGCTTGAACTGCCAACCTTGTAGTTCAAATGGCTTTGCAGTTGTTTGAATTGCATTTATCCACAGCACCACAAGGAGCCATCAAATCAGTTCTGACTCATGCACAACAGAATGAAACACTGCCTGGTCCTGTGTCAACCTCACAATCCTTAAGCTTGAGCCCATTGCTGGTGCTAGGATGCCAGTCCATCTTGTTTTGGGTCTTCCTCTTTTTCACTGACCCTCCATTTTACCAAGGGTCCCTTTACCTTAAAGATTACATATAACTAGGAAACCCTATGAAGCTAAGCTGTTCTCTGTAACACATGAGCTAGAATCTTAATGGCAACAGGTTTTGGTTTTTATTATTCCCTTAGGGATAGCTCAGATTTATTCAAGGGATTATTGGAATTCTTAGAAGTCAGATTGAGTAGTTTAGATGTTATTCTATAGGAAATGAAGGGTTACTTGAGAGGAGAAGCATGATTTAAAAATGGTTTAGAAAATGAGATGCTTTTAAGCTGCTTGCCCTCCCTGAGATGGCTTAGTGGCTCTGTGTGGGTGTGTCAGGCCTCAGGGAAGGGTGGCCAGCCATAGTACTTAAAACCTATACCCCTGGGCTGCCTCCTGAAGGCCTCCTCCCGGTTTACCTTTTTCTTTTCAGTCCCCTGCCTCAAGATCCTTCTCAGCAAAGGCCTGGGGCTAGGCATAGTGTCTGGGTCACTTCTGGGTATGTATTTTATCTTCTTCTCCTGCTATAGGAATGGAACTTGGGTGCCAAGAGGTCGTAAACTGGATGGTGGGTTATTTAGCTGGAAGTGGGATTATCATGCTCCCCAGTCAGGATTGTAGGTTGTGTTGGGACTGTCTACCAATGAAGGGAAGCACCTCAACCCTTCCCTTGCCCTATTTTCCCCAGTAAAGCTTCCCCAGGTGTTTAAAATCCTGGGAGCCAAGAGCGCTGAAGGATTGAGTCTTCAGTCAGTTTTGCTGGAGCTAGTGGCCTTGACTGGGACCATGGTCTACAGCATCACCAACAACTTCCCCTTCAGGTGAGAGGCCAACCCATTGTCCCCAAGGGTAAGTAAATGCCCATAATTCTAGCAAGAGAGTGAGGGACTGAAAAGAGTTGGAAAGTTCAAGTCCTTCTAGAACTCTAGTCATTGGGAATTATTTCCTGTGGAAGCAATGAGAGGTCAGCATCCCAAGAATGTCCAGAATACAGAATTAGTCAGTAGGTGGGAGCTGCTGGAAGACAGGTGAGGAATCAGCAGGGCTGTGGAGGACAAGAGAGGCTCTTCTTGCCCCTTTCCAGGCCCACTTTTCTCCCAATCCTTGACCCTGCAGCTCTTGGGGTGAAGCCCTGTTCCTGATGTTCCAGACGATCACCATCTGCTTCCTGGTTCTGCACTACAGTGGACAGACTGTGAAAGGTGCTGAGATTTACCAGGAATTCAGGCCTGGGGAAGCTGAGAAGTGGAGTTTGAGAGGTTGATGAGATTCCTTATCTCCCTGACCCCTCCCCTAGGTGTTGCATTCCTAGTCAGCTATGCCTTGATTCTTTTGGTGCTACTCTCACCATTGACACCCCTGGCTGTGGTCACCCTGCTCCAGGCCTCTAATGTGCCTGCTGTGGTGGTGGGGAGGGTGAGTAATGAGGGTAAGGGAAGGAACTAGGGGTGGGGGTGTATGGCTTAGGTGAATGAACAATGAAAAAATGTAAATTCAGATAAAGAAATCAAGGGTCTTGATTCCACCCATAGCTGCTCCAGGCAGCCACCAACTACCACAATGGGCACACAGGCCAACTCTCAGCCATCACAGTCTTTCTGCTATTTGGGGGCTCTCTGGCCCGGATCTTCACTTCTATTCAGGTAAGTGTACATCATCTCTCTAGAGGACACTGGGACTCCGTGGCAATGTTTAGGAGTGACCTTAGCTCTGTCCTTTACACCCAGGAAACTGGAGACCCCCTCATGGCTGGAACCTTTGTGGTTTCCTCCCTCTGCAATGGCCTCATCACAGCCCAGCTCCTGTACTACTGGAATGCAAAGCCTCCCCACAAGCAGAAAAAGGAACAGTAGGGCTCAGAGTCCTCCTAGTCATCCAGCCAGCCCTCTCCCAAATCGCAAACCAGAGTCAGCTCTGCTGGGGGGTTGACAGTTTTAGATGAAATGTTCCCCCCTCCTTCATCACCACACACAGGGTGTCTTAATGGTAACACATTGGTGGGGACCAGGTCCTTTAGAAAGGAGAGACTGCCTCCTGTTCTGGGCAAATGTCTTACTCTCTCCTCATACCTCCCCCTCCTTCTCTCTTCTGATCGGAGGACAGAGCCTAGGCAGTGGAACCAGAAGTCTGCAGCTGCCTCCCTCCCCCAACCTGGCTGTCTCCTGGACCCCAGTGCTGGGCATAAGTGGGGGGACAAGAGGATGACTAAAGCAGGGCCCCAGGGTGGGGTGGAAGTTCCTGCTCTGGCAGGTCCAGGCGGAAGGGAGTGGAGATGGCACTGGTTCCTGATGCAGTGAGGTGTGCAGAGATGGAATAAAGACACAGAGACATGATTTAATCATACAAAACTGTTCTTCCTACAAAAAAAAAAAATCACTTGTGTTCTCCCTGGCTTAGGGAGGATCACAGCTTGCCCCTACTGAACTGTGTGGTCCAACACAGGAAAGGTTTTCGGCCTGGGGGTGGGGAGTGGTTCTGGGTGGGAAGAAGGTGGGGCCCTTCCAGGGTAGTCCATGTCCGCAGGGGTTAAAGGTGGGTTAGGGGCATGGGGGCTCCAGAGAGGGGAGGATTGTATGCATTGGGAGAGCCTGGGGGTCTATAGGAGTTATAGGGGGTGAGCAGCTCACCTTGGAGCATTGGGCCGCTTTGAGAGAGGGAGCTTTGGGAGAGGGAGCATGTCGAGGGGGCCTCCAGTTTGCAGTGAGAAGAGCTGAAAAGAAAAACATGGGATTAGAGGGCACTTTCTGGGTAGGGGGCAGATCTGACCAGTTCTGTCCACCCAGCTATGTTTCTGGGTATAGTTGGGTATAAAACAAGAGACCCTGGGACACTTGAGATAACCACACAGCCTTGTTGGGGCACGCTGGAGAGGCTTGCGTGCTGTGCAGCTGGTTTCCTCATTTGGGGCCGACAGCCAGAGTTGAGCTTGGCCTCTCCTTGCCCTCGAGGCTGGGAGGAAGCTGGGTCACACATGGGCCATAGCAGGGGGGAGCCTGGCATCCAACAACTAACACAAGCTACATCCTGAGGTCTGTTGTATGCACCCGAAGGACTGCCATCTCCAGGCCAGCCTAGAAATGGTCTCTAAGAATACCCTGAGCCTACCTTCATTTACAAGGAGCTTTGGTTGCGTAGTGGATGTGAATCCGGCTGCGAACCACAAGGTCAGTAGTTAGAAACTACCAGCTGTTCCGCGGGAGAAAGATGAGGTTTTCTGCTCCCGTAAAGATTTACAGCCTCACTGTGAGTCAGAACCAACTCCACGGCATATACCACCACCACCCTCATTTACAGGACTACAGGTACAGGGGCAAGGCAATCAATCCTCAGTTGCGGCTCTGACCCTAGACTTGGTCCTGCATGGCTTATGCTTGTGGGGGCTCAGGGTCCCTGTCAGCTAGGCTTTCTGGGATCATCCTCCCACCCAGGCTGTTAAATGCCACTGAGTCAATTCTGACCCATAGCGACCCTCTGTATAGGGTTTCCAAGGAGCAGCTGGTGAGCTTGAACCACCAACCTTACAGTTCAAACGACTTTACAGTCTGACGCATTAGCCCACAGCACCACACCCAGTCTCACCCAGGCTATGGCTGGCTGTGTGCCGTGGAGTCGGTTCCGACCCATAGCGACCTTGTACAGGGTTTCCGAGGCTGTAAACCTTTACGGGAGCAGCCCGATACGTAACCACTACACTACCAGAGCTCCTTTACCCAGATTAGGAGGCAGCAGAACCTCCTTCACCCTGTGCCCCCAACCACTCACCTTCCAGGCAGATAGGCTGTTGAATAATTGGGGGGCTGGTATCCGAAGCCTCTGGTCCCTTGGGTGGTTGCATAGCCGGGTCCCCAGACCGGCCCACCACCAGCCATGCTGCCACCTCCTTGGTTGAAGTATGGTGGCCCGGTGCCCGGGCTCTTGGTCTTGCGCCGGGGCCGGTACTTGTAGTCTGGGTAGTCACGAAGGTGCCGAGCCCGAAGCCGCTTTGCTTCTTCCACGAAGGGCCGCTTCTCGTCCTCACCTAGCAGCTTCCACTGGGCGCCTAGGCGCTTGGAGATCTCAGAGTTGTGCATCTTTGGGTTCTGCTGCGCCATCTGGCGACGCTGAGCGGAACTCCACACCATAAATGCGTTCATCGGCCGCTTCACTTTCTCTAAAGGAAGCCCGGTGGAGACCACTGGGCTGCCAGCACTCTCTGATTCCTGAGACCCCAAAGATGAGGAAGAAGGGGCTGTGGGAGCGGAAAGTTGCAGGCTCCATGCCTGGTCCTGTGAGGAACCAGGTAGCGACATGAGGAGCTGGTAGGAAGCCTTAATAAGGCGTACGGAGCGCGCTCTCTTCGCCAAAGAGAAACGTTGATCCCAAAATCCAGTCTTCTTAAACCAGAAAGTGTCTTCTTAGTCTGCAACCCTTACGGAGAAATTGGCGTTTTATAAATGTCCCCAAGTCTAGGGTCCTTAAAGTGGAGCCCTGCTCCCAACCAGTCGCACTCTTGAAGAGAGTACAATTCGCTGTCTGGGAAAGGAAGTTAGGCTGTATCTTCTTGCCTCTCAGGATTCCCAGTCCAGTCCCTCTCCCTCTGCTTGCCGCTGGCGGCCCGACCTACCCTCTGTGAAGGTGGTAAACTTCCCGCTCTTGTCCTGGAGTTCCCGCAGCTGTGAGCAGTACAGCCCAGGTGCCACTAACTGTGCTGTTGCTGGCAAACCAGACCCGGCAACAGCTTTTAAAGAGACTCCGCCCCAATCCCTCCCAGAAGACCGCGCCTCCGTAAGGCGCCTACATACCCCCTTCCCCTAGGCAAACCCAGGTGTCTGTGCTTTCCAGCCCCCAACACTTGTCCTCGGGGTACCACGCCCCTCTCCCCACCCAAGACCTAGAAGTCAAGCCTTCCAGTGCTGGTCACCAGGAATGTCTTTCCTGGCGCTTAACCAATCGGAGTTGATTCTCTTGGCTACCCTATAGGTTCTCCCAGGTTTTAATGTTTACGGAAGACTGCCACTTTTTTGTCCATCAGAGCAGCTGGTGGATTCAAACTATATCTTGGTTGGTAGCTGAGTGCTTAACCACTGAGCTACCAGAGCTACACATTGGCAGTTTAAAGGCAATTCCTTCCCACAATAAGATCAAGCACAGAAGAAATTAAGGACCAAATACCCTCAGGGTCTGAATTGTGCAAATAAGAGAAACAGGAACATCATCCACTCCCACTCCCACCCCTTGGATGGCTAGTTAAGTGCCGGCAAGTTGGTGTTCTCATAGCGACTTTCTATATAGGGTTTTTTAAGAACAGCTTGTGAGTTTGAATTGCCAAAACTGACCTTGAGGTCCAGTGCCTATCCTACTGTGCACACCAGGAGTCCTCAAGCCCCCAACCTGCCCCTGGGGCTAGAAAACCCGTGCAGTCAAGTCAGTAGGCCATTTTTGTTTTCTGAGTCATCCCAGCAGGTGCCTGGGAAGTGATTCAATCCCTCTCCCCAGGTGAGAAAATTTCATGCTTTCCATGCTTCAACCCCTAGACCTATGTTTTTACACTATCTAATTATGATCAAGTTTCCATCTTCAATCCTTGGGGTCTGGAAGCAGGGAGCTAGGAAACCCAGGTCAATTCCCAGAAGCTAACAGGTAAATGATATGGATGCTGGAAGAAAAAGGCTGGATGAGAAGCAGCAGGGAATGAGGTCTGAACGCCCTGGTTTCAGGGGCTGTTGTGAGGGAACCCTGCTTCCACTCTGCCCAAGGCCCTACCCAAGCCCCAGGCCTCAGGTAATCGGATTAAGCAGCCTGCCTTGGCTCTCAACTGTTAGCAGCAAAAGCTCCAGACTTGAGCAGCCCTACCTAGTCCATGCTGTGACTCAGGGTATAGGAGTGGCCCCAAAATCCTCTCTATTAGTATACCTGGGGGAGGGGAGGCAAAGTACAAGTTACTTTCCTCTGAACCAAGGGAGTACCTGGGCCAGGGGAATTTAGGAATGTTAGGAATTCCCAGAAGTCTGATCATCTTTGGGACACCAGGGAATGAGCTGAGGAGCACTGAACGAGCACTGGGTGGAGGAACACAAAAGCCAGAGCCAAGGTCAATGAATCCTAGAGAAACAAAAGGACTGACCGAACTGAAGACAAGCAAAGCATGCAAAGAAGCCAGGAAGCCGTTTGATTTTTTTATTCTCTTTTTAAATACTGTACAGTGAAAAATAAATACGCCTTCTCATCCACCAGACAAGGTTAGCTCCCCCCCTCCCCCTAGGGGACCTTGTCACCCCCCTTCATACACACCCCTGGTTTTACTCCAAAACCTTCCCCATGCCTCCCACCCACTTTATACCCTTACTATCCCCGTCTTCCACAGTGATGAGGCCCCAGAAATGGGGGGTACAGGATGGGAGGAGGGATAGCAGGGGAGCCCCCCTGAACTGTCAAATATGGGTGGGTCAAGGAGCACCCCCCACCAACAGGCAGAGAATAGGGGTGTTCAGAGAGATTGGGGCATTAGAGGATAAAGGCACATCCAGTCTGATGGGGAAGGAGAGAGGCTCCCCTCACCCTGGGGGTAAGGTGGACAAGAGGGAGGAGGGTATGACCCTGTTACACATCCCTCCACTAGCTCCTGGAGGTTGGGGGGGACCCAAGCTGCTGTGCCACCCCCCACCCCCCTAGATAAGAGCAGCTCCAGCGCAGGTCAGTCGGGCCTGTGAGGGCCATGGTGTTGGGCAGCAAGCGAGATGGAGAAGGGAGGGATGCGAGCTGGAGGTTTTATGAAACTCCATTCACCAAACTACCCAACTCCAGAGGGGCAGAGAGCTCCCCATTCTGAGAGGGGCCCTTAGGAAGCTTGCTGACAGAGTCACCCTAAGAGGGAAATGGGAAAGAAAATAGAGAAAAGAAAGCAGTAAGTAGAAACCCAGTGTATGACATGCCGTACAACCTAAGTCAGTCAGCCCTCCTGGTAGCTGGTTATCGGACTCTCATCACTCTTACTGGGAGCCAGAGAATCTGAACCAAACTTCTCTCAACCACCATTGTAAATGCAATCTAGACTCCATCAGACACAGCCTTCTCTGCAATGCAGTTAAGAGGTTTCTTCGGGAATTTTTTTGAAGCCCCTGAATAGAACAAGGACACGGTATTTTGCCTGCCTACCTACCTTCTGTCCTAAAAGAGAGTCCTCTGAGGGCTTAGTGCGTTCCATGGCTGGTCGCTGGCGGCTCTGCGACTCAGCTCGTGAGATATAGTCAGCCACAGTCACTGGGAAAGGCAGAGGGTCAAGAGTTGAAGGACCCCAGGTATCCAGTCCACTCCCTGGGTTCCAGAGGGAAAGTGGCATCTCAGCTCTGAGGAAGGATTCCAGCACCCACTGTGAGCTCACCTGGCTGACGGTCTCCACTGATAGACCCATCAGTCCGATTACCACGATTACGGCGACGGCGGCTCCGGTTACGACGCTGGGGTCTTGACTCATCTTCTGTGGGCAGAAAGAAAAGAGTGATGCATCAAATCTCTCATCCTTCAATTCTTGCCATCTATAATTTTTGAGGCCCCAGGCACACTCCTCACCCAGGCCATTCTCTGTCATGTTGGGCCCATCAGATTCCAGGCCTCCATCCATGACAGTCCTGTCTTCGTCAGTGCGGCGGCGGCGCGAACGGCGGCGTCTGGCACTTGCTGGGGGCGGTTCCCCAGGCTCTGAGTCAACTGGGGGCTCTGGTTCAGATGTGTCCAATAGGCTGTAGGGATTACTGTCTGGATCCTTTAGCACTGGTTAGAAGAAAAGAATTGGGAGTCAGGTGTCCATCCTGCCCTCAATTTTCCTCTTGGCTTATATTACAACTGCTGTCTGATACCTGAGCTAATGGATGAAGAGTTATATCTTGAGGTGAGCCGAGGGGTAGATGGAGGCCCCCGACCTCGACCCCCAATTGGTCGCCTTCGGCTCTCTTCTCCCCGAGTAGGAGGATCTCGGTCACTAGGCCCAGCTCGGTTGGGTTCCTCTCTCTTCTCTGACTCTGTCTCAGAAGCTGTGGATAGGTCTGAACTGGGGCCTGAAGGGCAGGGTGTGGGTTCAATTGGGACCGCTCACCCTATCCCAGGATCCATCACAACCCCACAAATGGAAGAATTCGCCCATTCACTCAAATCCCCCACTCACCCTTCATCATGCCTACCACCCTTTCCTCCAAGTTTCCACCCAAGTCTCTCCACATAAGTCTGTGACTCCTCACCTCCTCTTCCTGTAGCAGTCTCACCATAGGCAGGACCACCTGTCCTCCGGCCCCGGCCCCGGCCCCCATAACTGCCCCCATAGGTTCGAGTAGTATGGAGGGAGGAGGAAGAGCTCTCATCAGTGGTATATCCAGCCTTGTCACTGCCACCGCTGCCCCGCCCACTCCCAGGAGGGCGAAAACCCAGACCAATCTGCCGAAGCTGCTCATCAATTTGCAGCCTTTCCAAACGAAGCTGCTCCACCTCCTGGTTGAGTATAAGATAAGAGGAAAGTAAAGAAGTAAGTATGGGATCAGTGGGCAGTCCCTTCCTTCTGGCTTTTCCACCCTGATCATTCCTACATATCTAATCACTCAGAATGCTGTTGTTAAGTGCCATCGAGTCAGTTCCAACCCACAGTAACCCTACGTAGGGTTTCCAAGGAGCAGCTGGTGAGCTTGAACTGCTGACCTTGCAGTTCAAACCGCTTTGCAGTCTGGCGCATTAACCCACAGCACCACAGCAAGACTCCAGCTCAGAATGTTAGAAGAAGGAAAATACTGGCTTAACAGAGAAAATTCTGGGATTCAGCTCTACCGCTCCTAATCACCACCCAAATTCCTATTCTACTCAGAGAGACAAACTGGGAACCAAACTCTTAACTTTATGCACCAGCAGCCTTAGTCCCTTGCTACAGCCACAGCTCTCTTCTTCCAGGCTGTTAACTTAGATACCTGCAGGTAGGACAGGTGATATTCCAGCAGAGCCTGAGCATTGCTGATATTCTCTCGGGTGCCGACAAATATGAATGGAACCATTCCCTGGAAAGCAGAGGTAAAGAAAGATGGATGCGGAGTGATAGTCAAACAAAAGAACGAGACCCACCTAGTCTCCTAGGAGAAACAGTTTCCGGGCCGATCCCTTAAAAATCCCAACCCTCAAAGAATGACCTGGATAACAACTACTCCTGGAAGTCAATCTCTGTGCTTAGTTTCCCCATACCTCCTCCCTGGGGTTCTTCTTGTCATTATCACCTTCCACTCGAACCCTCACCACACCAGATTTATCCACAATCTCCTGGATCACTTTCCCATTC